AGATCAACAGAGACTCGTAAGTGAGTTACTAGCACGGCTTGGAGATGCAGAAACTAAGCTAATGGAAGGAGAGATGCTTCGAAAGAAACTGCATAATACCATATTGGTAATCCCTCGTTGTAAAAACATTATATTAGCTGCTGTACTGTTGTTTTTTTTTATTCACTGAGCTCTTTTGTAATGCAGGAATTGAAAGGGAACATTCGTGTGTTCTGTCGAGTGCGACCTCTGTTACCTGATGAACGTTCTAGCCCTGAAGGAAATTTCATCTCGTACCCGTCATCAGTCGAATCGCTTGGACGAGGAATCAATCTGGTGCAAAATGGTATACTTTTTACTGATAATATTCAAGTCCACCAAGTTACTTCCATATAATATATTTGTTAGGAATCACGGATCTCCCAACAATTTTCCCCTCGATCAAAGTACACTATAGCCTCCCCTGAGGCCTATGGAGCCCTCGAACAACCTCCCTTTAATTGAGGCTCGACTCCTTTGGAGTCCTTGAACAAAGTACACCATTTGTTCGACATCGACACTTGAGTCACTTTTGACTACACCTTCGAGGCTCACAACTTCTTTGTTTGATATTTGAAGATTCTATTAACATGTCTAAGTTAAGGGCATTCCTCTAATACCATGTTAGGAATCACGACTCTCCACAATGGTATGATATTGTTCACTTTGAGAATAATCTCTCATCACTTTACTTTGGGCTTCCCCGAAAAGTCTCATACCAATAGAGATGTATTCCTTACTTATAAACCCATGATCGTCCTCTAAATTAGCCAATATAGGACTCCCTCCCAACAATCCTAAACAATTCATTGCCCTCCAGCTCTCTTTATTCGAACTGATATCAGGAAATAAAGCTTCTACCATGCTTATATATTGTCAGGGCAACGACATTCTTTCACGTTCGACAAGGTTTTTGCACCGGAAGCGACACAAGAAGACGTCTTTGTAGAGATTTCCCAGCTTGTACAAAGCGCCCTCGACGGTTATAAGGTAATACATGACACCATAGTCTTTACTCCCATATTTTGGCTAATTTACAAGTTCTTTGGTAAATGTTATTTCTTTTAGGTTTGTATATTTGCGTACGGTCAAACGGGTTCGGGAAAAACGTATACAATGATGGGTAAAACAGGGATCCTTGAGGAGAAGGGACTGATACCTCGATCATTGGAACAAATATTTCAAACCAGGCAATCTCTTCAACCTCAGGGTTGGAAATATGATATGCAGGTGAGACATACATTATACTATTTGTCGTGTCTTTGCTGTTGTCATGTTCGAAGACATTTTTGTTGAACTTCTTATCGTTCTATAGGTATCGATGTTGGAAATATACAACGAAACGATCCATGATTTACTATCATCAAACCGATCAGCTCCAGATGTGCTACGAGCAGAAAATGGTTCTCCTCTGAAGCCGTACTCGATCAAACACGATGCAAACGGAAACACACAAGTGTCTGATCTTACAGTTGTAGATGTTCGTAGCGCCAAGGAGGTCTCGTTTCTATTACAGGAAGCTTCTCGGAGCAGGTACCAATAGTTTCCTCATTTCCTCTCATAACGACTTGCACTAATGCTCCTTACCTGCAATGCTCAATGCTGCTTGAGTTGTTGATGTAGCTATAATAACACTTTTTGATTAGTACGTTATGTTTTTACGAGTAACGATAGTGAAAACGCATTGCATTTTTCCCTTAGATCCGTTGGCAAAACCCAAATGAACGAGCAATCATCGAGAAGTCATTTTGTGTTCACTCTTAAAATATCCGGTGTCAATGAGGTAAAATTTGGTTGGTCCCCGTTTATGTTTTAACATGTCGTGGTTCTTCTCTACTGCCATGTTTCCATAGAGATTCATTCTCATTTTGCATCTGGTAGAGTACTGATCAACAAGTACAAGGCGTTTTGAATTTGATTGATCTTGCTGGGAGCGAGCGTCTTTCCAAGAGCGGATCGACGGGGGATCGACTGAAAGAAACCCAAGTAAATGATCATTACTATCATATTTTTGTTTTAAACTTGTTTTGTTATTCAAATTCCGCTCTTAATCCTTTATTTTCTTCATTACAATCAGGCCATAAATCGAAGTTTATCGTCTTTGAGTGATGTTATATTTGCTTTGGCAAAGAAGGAAGAACATGTGCCATTTAGAAACTCAAAGCTTACATATCTTCTTCAGGTACTTCTTGTTGATTTCTCTGTTTGACATTTATTATACAATCATTCTAACTTTCTGAATATGGATGGTTAACCAGCCTTGTCTCGGTGGAGATTCGAAGACGTTGATGTTTGTAAATATCTCTCCCGATTCCTCCTCTGCTAACGAGTCGCTCTGCTCGCTTCGCTTTGCTGCACGAGTCAATGCTTGCGAGATCGGTACTCCTCGGCGTCTAACCAATACACGACCTTAAGGTTTATGCTCGAGCCTTGCTTTTACATTGAAAATCAGCTGTATGATAATTGAATATGAGGATGATTATGACTTAGGCTTAGTTGTATAGCAAAAGAGATCTGATTGTATTAATGAAAGCAAGATTTTTTTTTCCCAATTCTTGTGCCAAGCATGCTGTAAATGATCATGATCCTTCTTGTAATGGCGAGTGGTAGCTAGCTCACCACTAGCAGATATTGTCATCTTTGGGCTTTCGCTTTCGGGTTTCCCCTCAAGGTTGTTAAAACACATTTTCTAGAAACAGGTTTCCACACCCTTATAAACAATGTTTCGTTCTCCTCCCCATGGTATCTCGCATCCACCCCCCTTCGAGACCCAACATCCTCGCTGGTACTCGTTTCCATCTCCAACTGATGTGGAACCCCTCAAATCCACCCCCCTTCGGGGCCCAGCGTCCTTGCTGGCACACCACTTCGTGTCTCACAATCCACCCCTTTTGGGGCCTTGCGTCCTTGCTGGCACACTGCTTCGTGTCTCACAATCCACCCCTTTTGGGGCCTAGCATCCTTGCTGGCACACCGCTTCGTGTCTCACAATCCACCTCCTGGGGCCCAGCGTCCTTGCTGGTACTCATTCCCTTCTCTAATCAATGTGGGAACTCCCAAATCCAGTACAATTTGGGGGCCAGCGACCTTGTTGTGTCCACCCCTCTTTGGGGCTCAACCTTCTTGTTGACACATCGCCCAGTGTCTAACTCTGATACCATTTGTAACGGCCCAAGCCCGCCACTAACAAATATTGCCCTCTTTGGGTTTTCCCTTTCGGGCTTCCCCTCAAGGTTTTAAAACACGTCTTCTAGGGAGAGGTTTCTACACCCTTATAAAGATTGTTTCGTTCTCCTCTCCATTCGATGTGGAATCTCACACTTCTTGTCTGTCTGATCGATATCGTCCCCCTCCCGTTCAAGACAAAATCTAGATTGTTGAATTATGATTAAACACTCGAACCACTGTTATTGCATCGTTACACCACATTTATATATGGATGCAAAATCGAATCGAATTATAAACAAGAATAACAGAAGAATGGTGGAAAAAAAGGAAACTGATCCTTAATCTTCTCAAGAACTTCCACAGTTTATGCCATTCTATCCATAACTTCTTGAAGTATAGGCGTTGTCTGTTGATAGTAAGCTTCAGTTTCACTCAGATTCTTCTGCTTTGCTGCATCTTCAAGCTACAAACACACAAAACAAGAAACTTCAGCTTCAAGAATTGCAGATTTTTGTAAGCTTTTTTGTTCTATACCTTTTCGAAGTTGTCGAATAATCGGTTTGCTAAATTGGTGAGAGGCTGCTTCTCACCGTCTTCTGCTGCCGAAATAACATTATCGAAATCGTAGTACATGAACGTCGATTTGAGTCGAAGATACTTCCTCACATAATTCAAAGTATCTTTCCCAATCAAATCCGCCATAGCCAGAAGATCAAACGCATATCTCTTCAATCTGTATTTTCTCCCTTCCGTCCCTATGTTAGCTATGTAAATCCCCGTCTTCAAAAACGATCGAGTACCCGTTTTCTCGTTCGCTATGTCTGTAACAAAGAACCCATCATGAACTAACAAACCCCAAACGACTTTCAACTTATTCTACATGAAGAAACAAAAAGCTTACTGTTATAAACAGAAGGGATTGGTAGAGGGCCATCGAGCCAGTACTCGTTAGCCGAAGCGATCTCAACCGATGCATTGCCAAAGAGAGCGACAGATGCGAGACTGGTAAGAGCCAATCTTCTTGTCAATGAGATTCTATGAGAGGAAACCTCCGCTTGTTTCTCGAGAAGCCCCATTATTTTTGATCTCTTACGAGTCTTTTCAAGCTTCGAAAGCTTCGGAATGGCGGAGAACTTCTCCGAGACACCGTTTAAGTTTGCAAGACGAGCCATTGATGCAAAGCTTTGAAGAGAAACGGAGGAATTGGCAATAGAAAGAGGCAGAGCTTCTAATTCAGTTATCCGTTTCCCCTTTTCTGGTGTCCTTTACAGTCCACTCAAAAGGATATCCTCATGGAGGTTATTTTAGTAATTTTGTCATGAAAAAAAACTAAAATTATTATTTTAAATAAGTCCTTAAAAATAAATTTTAAAACTTTTATTTTTTACCGAATAAATGTTCGTATTGTTCGAAAAATTCACGAACCTATTAAAAATAAAATTAAAATTTAGTCCTTTAATTACAAAATTAAAATTTAAATATTTGGCCTTTTGGTCGATGATGTAATGTGTTCGTTGATATTTAATTTAATAATATTTTTTGATTTATTATTTATAATATATAGTTGAAGTGTCTCAATCTTGATCCATCACCATATTCTAGTTTCTTAATAATATTATTATAAAACTTATATTCAATGTAAATAATATATCATTAAAGTCAAGTTTGAAAATGGACCGAACCGTTTCGACTCGTACGAAAACCGATTCCGACCGACCGACCGGCTCAGCAACCGGCAACCGTTTTATTTCTTACCCAAAATGTAATTCACGCGTTAGGATGACGTGTCTCTCCCACTCAATCCCCCAATATGGCCGAAACCTACCAACAATAATACGCCCCAAATCCCCAATCTTCCACAAATTTTATCGTCCCCAAATTTTTCATCTCCTTCAATTGCCCTAACCCTAATTCTGGTCCTCTGATTTTTCTTTCAATTATCATTCTGATCGGATAGTAACGCTTTTTGTTGTTGTTGTTATTGTTGTTTGAGAAAATGGTATCCCCTGAAAATTCTAATTGGTTGTTTGATTATGGATTGATCGACGACATCCCCGTATCGGATGCGAATTTCCCAGTCACCAGTTCGAGCTTCTCGTGGGCTGTTCAACCCTTTGATGGCACCCATGATGTCGGGTAATCTTCAGATCTCTTTCGATTAAGCTCTTAAAGCTTGTTTTTGTTTTTTCTTATCGAAAGCTAAATTAGGTTTTGTTTGCTTCGAATGGTGTTTTGTTTTTTTGGGTTTCTTCCCGGGTTTTCGTGTACATGCCGAATTATGCGAGGTGGGGTGGCCCTTTTATTGCTGTCCAGATTAATATTGGAGAAGATCTCAACCTGCTTTGGAACTTTTTGGATTGAGCTAGTAATGAGTTCGGACGTCCGAGTTTTATGACTGGAAAACTCTGAGGTTTTGAGGAAAATGGTTTATAGATACTACTGGTTCTGTTTGGTGAACTATTAGGTTGTTGACCGGATTGATTTAGTGTCCACAGGGGTGATGGGCGGGATTAACAAGACGTTGGGGGCGTGAATATACCAAGAACTATGTGTTGTTGTATTTTGGTAACAGTCAGATTGTAAGGATGATTGTGCGTCTTGGGTTTTAGGTTTATATGAATTTGTATAAATGGTAGTTTCTCTGTGAGGAAAGTTTTTCGTATGTTATGTTGAATTCCAGTGGCATGTAGAAAGATTTGTCTTTTACTTTTTTCGACATATTAATGTAAATTTTGTTGATGTTTAGTTCTTTTTCCTTGGACATGTTATTCTAGTGTGGAAATTGATGGGTCATCGGCAGATCTAGATGGTCGTCTAGAATCTGGCTCCAAGAAGAGGTACGAAACCTTCGTTATTACTTTTTAATCTTGTCTGTTCAATAGAATCAACCTTTTGACTCTTGTTAATATTTCTGCTTTGAAGTCTTTTCCATAACGATGATCTGGGAATCAATATCATTAGAAATATATCAGCCGTATTATTATTGGCACAAACAGCATGGTTTGACGGAGTCATAAGATCAGGATTTCTTGGGATTTTTTAATCGACTTTGTGCGAGCATTTTAGTTAGTCATTACTTGTACAGTGAGGTCTTTTCTAATTTAAAATTTCCAGAAATTTGTATCCAGTTTATGTTTTAATCGGCTTGAAACTAGGTTTACATTTTATCTTACCGCTGAAATTTAAGTCTATGTGATCTTTTACTCCGGTCACAGCACTTACTATGGTTACTCACTTGTCAGATATGTGTTAACTGAAGAGCATTCAGTTTTGTGGCATGGATGGGAGGGAGTGATAAAGCTATGATTCTTCCTTTATTTGAACTTCAATGCAATTATATGTGAGAGTTCTAATAGGATTGTATGGAGATGATATGTAGGATATTAGTAATGGCACAGTAGTAACTAGATAGGGTGACTTGGTTATAAATAGAGGGAGATAGGGACTTTAGAGGGGAGATCATTTTAGTGGAATTGACCATTGTGGGACTTGGGAGCGAGTTTCCCACTCAAAAGGCTACAGTTATACTGTAATTTCCCTTTGATATTGCAATTTATTAGTATCTTGTGGTAAGTGTTTGGCACCTAATAAATTGTTTGTGGCTTTTTATTATAACTATATTACATCAAGCTGATTATTCGTATTGATATCGTATCTAGTGTCCTAATCAATGTGATAGTAAAAGGCTAAGGATCCATTTATTTATTTTACGTCCTTTTTCCGTTGTGAAATTTGGCTTACCATGTTAAGATGTTGAATTGGTTTAACTAGGTGTAAATAGATATAGTAACAAATGAAACTAAAAGTGGGAAGGAAAATATGATATAGCATCAAATAAAGTACACTCGTTTTATGCTGCAGGGTCAGATCTGATTCATGTAGTGGATCAAGCTCCAAAGCATGTAGGGAAAAATTGCGGAGAGATAGGCTCAACGAGAAGTACTTCCTCTATCCCGAACCCCCCATTTATCTATGTTTATAACGATTGTCTGTTACCTCAACAAATCAAATTGTTATGTGCATCTCAAAACAGGTTTCTGATACTGGGCTCCATTTTGGACCCTGGAAGGACACCCAAAACCGACAAGGCTGCAATTTTAGTTGATGCTGCTCGAATGGTGAATCAGTTACGTAGCGAAGCCCAGAAACTAAAGGAATCAAATTCAAGTCTGCAGGATAAGATTAAAGAATTGAAGGTACGCCTATTTCGCTTTCTTGCCAAAGATGTGCCATTATATTAGCTCGCTTTGTTTGCTTTTGATGCATTTGAATGGAGAAGTCTGATAATAATATTTCATTTCTCACAATCTTGAATAGGCTGAGAAGAACGAGCTTCGTGACGAGAAGCAGAGGCTGAAGGCCGACAAGGAGAAGCTAGAGCAGCAAGTGAAGTCTATGCATGCTCACCCTGCTGGCTTCTTACCTCCACCAATCCCCACATTTGCTGCTCAGAGTCAAGCTCCTGGCGGTAATAAGTTAGTTCCTTTCATTGGTTACCACCCAAGTGTAGCCATGTGGCAGTTCATGCCTCCTGCTGCAGTCGACACGTCACAGGACCACGTACTCCGGCCACCCGTCGCCTAAATCAGTGACCAGCCGAGGTTTCCTGTAAAATCCCACTGGCAGCATCTGGTTGCTTGGGAATTTATCCTTAACTTCAATATTTATTCTGTCATTGTCGAGTAATATATATTAGTATTGTTAGTTTGTAGGCTTGTCAATTGTTTTTGGGACTGACTATCATGTGTCATTGAATACTTGAAAGAAGAACAAGTTCTATTTTGTAATTGTAAATGTGATTTGAGTGATTTGCTAATGACTGTCTCCATTCCATGCCCTTTCAAACTCAAACCATGATTTTACCATGATTGAATTGAAATTGAGGGTTCTTCTCCTTCTATCATATAGATCCATATAGGAAAGAAGTTAACAATAAATTTTTTCAAAATTGACTATTTGTTTCTCTCAAAAATAATGTATGGGATCGAGTAAATTGCTCGATGAACGAATAGATCACATTGAATTGGAAAATGGAAAGCCCCTTTATAGAAAATCGTTAGGTATAATATGTTAGATTTTGTGCACGTGAGGTACAATGCATGTCACTCTCATATTTACGCACCTAAAGGCAACTTTAGATAACAAGATTTCTCTTGCCTTCTTACTATGCATGACTAAACATATTGATTAGATGGCTTTACTCTTTAGGACAACCCCTTAATGAACATTGTTTCTTCCCAAAGGAACTTGACTGCACAATCTGTAGCCTAAGCTCTCTTCATAGAGGAGACTCTCTTACACCATCTTGGAGCTTTCCCTTTAGGAGCAAGGAAAACAAACCTGTTCTTCCTCCACTATTCTAGGTCACCCTTTTTACCTTACTTGTAGAAGATACCAACCAATAGCTTGCCAAGCATGACTGTGCCACTTGGCCCACTCGATCATCACCCTACTAGCCAAGTCATGTGTCTCGAGATTGAGATCAGACTTGGTAGGCTATTAAGGCTTAAACTCATCTCCTCTAAGCCTAAATTATTCTAATAGTTCTTATCGACTATTAAGCTTGAAATGACCATATTAACATACTAATACACATACGACAACTAATATTGAAACAAACATTTCCAATTGCTGGTTTTATTATTGCAAATGGTAAACAACGATCAATTCAAATAACTCAATTTCACTCATCTTCCCAAAACATATAAAGCCGTTTCAGTTTGACAAAGCAACAATTTGAAGGAACAAGTGGACATTAACAAGCTCTCAAATACGTCCTTCACTTCAACCTTTAACCTTGTAAACCTTACCGTTTTCAATAATATCATAAAAGATTAAGGCTCTATCAACCTCTTTTCAATCTCCGTCTTCTGTCTCCTATTTCATTCTCCATTTCAAGGTCAAGGACCAAAACAGAGAATATAATCTCCGTCCCATTTCAGCTAATGAGGAGATATCTCTCCTTAATTCAGTTCAAGAGAAATGAACTCTATCCTGTTCAAGGGAAATCGCCACCGTTGAATGAACTCTAGTTTCTCAAGTCACAATGGGAGTGGTCCATCAACTGAAACTTGATAAGTTGTGAAAAAAGGATCCAAAGAGAAAATGGAACACATCTCAGAGTCTCTGATATAGAGCAGCAAATAACATAAATGCTCATGTCCACTGCAACACAGTGAATCAAATTCAAATGACACATAATTTCACATCAACTCAGCTCAGCTTTAATGGCAATTCTCTATTATTTACATCATCATAAGAAAGCCAGTTGGAGAAGACATAATTTAGCTCTGTCATTTACAAAGGAACCATTAAATGAAACGCCATTCAAACACCTTATCTACACTTCATCCATAACTTCCAACAGAAATAAAAGAATAAACTGCAAACCAGAGAGTCGACCGAAGTTCATAGAATTACTTACCTCTCTAATCAAACAAATCACATATGCCTTCAAAATCATCCTCCACCTCCACGCCACTTTCATGGTTATTTACAGACTTGGGTTGAGAACACTCCATGCTTAAGCTCTCTGTACAATTATTTACATTATCGGGCTCGGGATGCGACGACCTTGGGCCTTTATAGCCATTTACAACGCCCTTGGTTTCTGTCACCATTTTGTGACCATGCTTACCCGTTCCTTTAGGTCCGTTGTTGATAACTGACCCATCGGGACTCGCATCGTTCCTCCTCGATTGCCTTTCATTTTCAAATAGATCGGACTTCTGGTGTAGCAACAGTTGGTCACTGTTCCTATTTAAAGACCTGAATTTCAGAGGAATAATATGATGAGAAGCAAAAATCAGGTGTTGTGAGTGATAGCAGGCGTTCTGTTCATATATAATTTACGACGACGTTGAGCTCATCATCAAAGCATAAAAGATTACGTTCGACATCTAAAATTTACCTCACCTTGTCTGTGAGATTTTAGGTGACTGAAGATGGTTAAAAACTGGAACTAGGTCCTTCGACCGAGCTTCAACCATACGAGTCGGGATCCTTTCAATTTCGGTTTCTCCTAGATTATCTATTTCATCACCTTTGACACCGTCTTTTGCCATCACTTGAAAATATATCTATTCATCAATAAAAAGGGAATGCAGGAATGTAAATATTGAACAAATGGACCTAAATCTTAAAGAGATACGAGTCAAACAGCAAGTACCTCGGGTTTTGTCCACAGCGGAGTATGGTCAGCATGCATCTGCAGTTCCACTTCCGAGATATACAAGTGGTGTTGTTCCACCGTGCATGTCTTTGCCTTTGAGACAGTGCCACTAGCTTCAAGAACAATAGGCTTTCCATTCATTTCTCCACAGTAATTTTTCTTGCAATCTAAAGCTCCATTGTCACCGTATATGTCAACGTTATTATCTCGGGCCCTATGGTTTTGTTTCTGAGAAATATTCCATTTCTGGACTGCTTCAACTGCTACTCTTGCATCCAACTCAGGAACTAAGTCGAGACCTGTGCTGAATATCGGTAAAGCTATGGCTGAATCTAAACCCACTCGCAGCACGTACTGTATCATACTTCCAGTTGGAGTAAAAACTAATATGTGGTACCTAGCCTCGGACGATCCATGGTCCACATGCAAAGCATTTCCCTTGCAGTTGTGGAAAGCTGAAGCGATAGCTCCTGTAACAGAACCGATTCTACCCGTAGCAGCAGCTGCGGCACTACTAACAGTGCCTTGCCAGCCATTACTTCCATGATGAATTCTACTAACAGCAGAAAGCGTAATCGGACCTCCAGTAGCACATTCATTCTGCTTACGAGGCATATGTAAACCAGAATCGACCAACCGAACGGTTTGTCTTGCGGGAACTACTAACCCATCAATTCTGGTAGCAGAACCAGTAGATGGGAAATTCACCTGTCCTCCAGCAGGGTTTATAGCAAAGAGATGACTCGTCCCTCTGGACGAACTAATCATGATCCAGTTGCTATCATAGCTGAAACTGATGTCTTGTATGACCTGATAATAGATCGAAAAACACAATTACGACACTGAAAACATCACAACAATGAAATAAAATTGCATTCCTCTTACTGCATTAGTGAAGCCTCGTTGGAGTCTGTAGAGATGGCGATAAGACGCACCAGTACTAGACACAGGTGAATTTGAACTCGAACTCGGCATAATGTTGAAAACATTTATGTTATGACCCTGAATAGAAGCTGTTACCAAGATGGTGCCGCTCGGATCAAAGCACAAAGCAGAAATAGGGCTCTTATGAGCCCGAAACTGCGTGATAACCGATTTGCTGATAATGTCCTTCACAATAACCTGATAACAAAATGTAAAAGGGAATAATGTTATCACTTTAGATCTTTTTACTATCATAGCTGAATCAATTCAATAGCATAATCAATACTCAAACAGAGAAAAGACCGACCACTCCAACACTATCTGCATCAGCCACATGATCTTTAAGATATCCAATACCATTCAAACCATGAGCTCCAGGTTGATGAGAATTGTTGCTATCGGGCAAGAGCTCTGAGTAATATCTCGATAGCTTCTTAATACCCTTATCACCAATGGTAACAAGGCCTGCTGCAAGATGCTTACTCGATTCCTTTGCATAGTGAGCAACTAAACTTCCATTTAAAGAAGAATGAGATAAACCAGCAGAAGGTTTTAAATGTTGTGGCGTCACTCGCCCTACATTCGACGCGGTGATCGGACTTCCACTATAAGCCAGCCACCGGGATCCCAGCGCAAGAGGTCCATAACCGATACCTCCTCCAGAACCCGGAAATCCAGAAGCAACAGGATTTGCATGAATGATATGTTCTGTCTCCAAAGTTGTAGCATTGATGCAGTGTATCTGTGGGAAAATGAACTCAAATTCCCAACCAAACAGACTACATTTATGTTTAAAGGACAAATAATAAGACTGCAGCTGCTCGAGTGAGCAAACGTACCTGAGTTACGAGAGAAATGGCAACAACCAGAGGACTGCATCTCACAGAATAAACAACTGATCTAAATTTGAGCTCGTGCACATAGGTTTGAGATTTCAAGGAATAAAACCTAACAAAAGTAGGCATAAAACCGGCATCGGCTAGTTCCTGGACCTTTGGGACAGCTGCATTGCCAGAAGTTGCTAATCGATCCTGAATTTTAAAACCAGAAGTAATGGAACCATAAGCAGAAAGCACCAGCAATGGCCTACTTTCTGTAAACTTATCACCCGATCTCATTAACGGTATTGGTCTGGGCAACACTTGCATGTACGAAACAGAACCATCGTAACAAGAAACCAGGTCTTGGACATTATTTGCTTCCTCAATGTCCCAAACCTGGAAACCCGAACGAAAACCTAACAGAAGAACCCGTTGAACAACATTGTCGTCCCACTCTAACTTGTCAAAACCCGCCCAGTTCACCTTTATCATATAACAATGAAACTAAGAATTAATAATCACCGATTTATCCAGAGAAAAGAAGAACAAAATGAGAAGGTGCTAATATCATATCGATCGAGATTAACAAGGAAAAAACAAAGCAAAACACAAAAATTTAATGATTTTGGATAGACCTACCGATACTCAAAGGACACACCATTTTGTAATCAATCAAAGATCATTTATCATATATCATACAAGGATGGAAACTACAAAAAATTGGCAAGAATTCCCAAATTTCTGGAAACATCAAGTAGAACTCCTTTGTCAAATCAAGAACAGTACAAGGATGGGCTACAACGCTCATAATATAGTGACCACATATTCCACAAACACAATTACATTGCAGAACAGAGCAGCAAATGTTGGAAAAGGTCCAGTAGCCCATGCGTGATGACAGAACACGTTTACATTCATGTTGTGTTCATGCAAGATAAACAATTTTCTTTCAAATATAAGGCAACTAAAACCTTGTTTTTATTAGGAGATTACAAATACACACTGAAAAACGCTACTTAAACCACAAAATTCATATGGGTTCAGCAGAAATCATCATTATTCCAACAAATTTAATGAAGAAAGCAGCCATTCATGACAATTCCAAGTATTTGAAGTTCATCAAAGTCCACCACATACCTGGAAGCCATTTGCTTCATCATCCTTATCCGCCAAAGAAGATGCCACTGATGCAGCGGACCGTGCCACAGTCGAAGCACCAGCAGAAACAATCTTCATGTAACTAGAAAAAGCACGAAACGAACTTGATATGAACTCATGAGCACGCCCAGAGCGCGCTACGGCTCCCTGTTGTTTTACAGCTCTATCATTCCCCATCCCCAGAATCGAATTGCAAAATAATTTCCAAATCCCACTCTAATCATAACCCCACCCTGTTTCTTGTCAATCCCCAGCAATTACTAAAAGGAAAGAAACAGCCCCTCTAAATTTCAACACATTCAATTTCCAACTCTCCATCTGCTTCAATCATCAGCAATCATCAGACCCCTTTTAAGAACTCACATAATCAACAGAAGAGAATTCCCAAATCAATGAAACTAAATCGCCTCAATTCTGATCATGAGTCATTTGCACCAAGCAACGAAAAGGGTGCAAACCCAGTAAACAAAATCTCAATACCCACAAAAGGAATAGATAAAAGGAAGACGAAAAATCAGGGAACAACGATACGAAATTCGAAGTACCCTTTTTCTTTGCTGAAACGAACTTTTCGAACTCTTTTTAACTTCGCCAAAAGAATTGAAAATGAATCAAATAAAAACAGAAAGAAAGCTCAAATTTAAACAAGAAAATGAAACCCCAAAAGTTAAAACAATGAAATCAATCGATTTAGTTGAAAAAACAGATTCAGAAACCAGATTACAGCCAAGAAATCACCGGAAAATATCTAAAAAGTGAAGAATATAAGGGAAGAAAAGCGGTATTGAAGTATTTGGATAACGGAGAAGGAAGTATTTATCTTTGTTTCAGCAAATTAAAGCGTCTCTCTCACTATCTCTCTTCGGAAATTGTTTATATCTTAATTGCGAAATCAGGAGTTGGGGTTGGGCCTCTTTTTTCTGTTGCTTTGGAAATTAAACCCTTCGCACGTCTCTCCCTTTTCTCAAGGCCATCAAATTCTCTCTCCAACAAAATTTGTAACTTGTTGGCCAAGGGAAGGGGAGAAGCTTTAGTCTAATCAATGGAGGGCTGTGTGTTCAACTAATATATCTACACTATTTAATTTTCCATTGACAATATAATATCCCTCCTTAAATCAAGTCCATGTAAGGTCGATTACGACTCGAGTCCGGTGTTTTAAGTTCAGGAAGGTAAATGTTAAGCTCGAGAGCTTAAGTCAAAAATTAGAAAACTATGTTTTAAAACGTGTTAGTTCGGTGTTTTAAGTTTACGACTTAAGTAGATATTTCTCACTTTAGTTCCGTATCGTTGTTAACTTCATAATTTTAAAACGTCTCAACTATGAAAAGAGTCTAGTATTTTTCCGATCAGTATCTCGCACTGTCGGGTGACGGGCTTAGACGCACTTTCCATTATTTTATTAGCTAAATTACATGTTATTAATTTAAACCAATTATCTTGTTCCTTGTTATTAACATGTCAATAACAAAGGCTTATAATAAAGTTTGTATAATTATGTTAGTCACAAACAAGGAAAAAAAAAAAAAAACGATATAGTTATATGGGCCTAGAGGCCCAATTAGAACGAGGATTTGGGCCATCGAAGGAGCCCATTTAAGGAGAACTTGGGGATAAGTATTAAGTGATAAGGCAAAAAGTGGAGGTGAAAGTCACATCTCACAGTTGCGTGACTTTATCAATCTTCACATGTGAATGTGAAATCACTTTCCTTTTCCTTTTCTATTATCCATTTTTTAATTGTTTTAAAGTGAAAATGTTTTAATATTATATGGTTGAAGATTATTCAATTTTTTTAGTTATACAAACTAAATCTTAAATAAACCCTAAACCATTTTTTAAATTAACATTTAATTTAAAATAACAAATCTGAGGTATGAAGTTTTGAATTTTCGATCTCAAGAAATTGAGTCCATCTCAATTATCGTTCATCTCAATTTAAAATATTAAGTTTGATTATAAAAATTAACTTATTTTTAGACAGAAATGTTATCAAACTAGGCTTCACGTGTCCTTCAAATTCATTCGAGCACTATTGCATAAAATTTGATTATAAAATACTCCCAACTAAGTACAGTAGAATACGAGATATGACTAATATCTAGGGGCGAATCATTTTCTTACTTCTACCAAACCAATCAATAACATAGTATAGAATAGATAGACATCTAATGAAAGCATAGTTCAACTGACATAAAATATGTATCATTGATGAAGATATCAAATATTCGAATCTCTCAAGTATGCTATACGTCAAATATACTATTATTGCATTTCTCGATCGAGAGATAACGGCAAATACCCAAAAATAAGAAGAAAAAAAACACCCATTTGAACCAGAAGAGCAAAGGAAAAGGGAGTTTCAATAATTTCTCCCCATATTTTTATTGCCAAGGAAAAGTGGATCATTTTATTACACCTATCAATGATGTATCTACTTGAACAAATGTCTAATCTTTCTTCGAGATCTTCAGTCTTAAATGATATTAGATTCAATCAATAAAGGGCTTCACATGCATATCTGTGATCATGCTCTAATCTACTCCTACAAGCCAAAAATGCAAGTTAGTTTAATACTAATATACTTCTCCATTCATACCTCTCTTTCATTTCTGCTCATTTTCAGCATCTTTTCTTGTGTCTTCCTTTTTTCTTCTTTACTGAGGAAGAGGCAACATAAACCGATTCGCATTCCTTGATTACATAGCAAACGTGAGCATCGTCTTTCGGAATTTTTTCAAGCAAAACTTTTGCAGATTTTTGGTCCCCAGATGCTAAGAGAGCTTGATACATCCTGCAAAAATGCCCCATGGACAGAGTACTCAGGCAAATTGGATTGTTTAGGCTCGAAGAAAACAAAACAGGTTCGAGCGAGGACTCGTACAAAGGGAAGATAATAGACAATAACATCATAAGTTTACCGCAAGTAACTAATAGTATTGTGTGGGAGGCCAGCTTTTTCATATTCTTTCCAGATGAGGAGAGAGCTCTCTGCATCTTTGGCGTTGGCACAAGCACCCAGGAGAAAATCAAGGCATCTACGTGGGGGAGATAGACCGAGATCATTCTTTATGAATTGAAGCAATTGCAGGCCTGTTTCTAAATATGATGGCTCGGACTCAGCAATGAGGGAAAAAATCTGGACACAATATAGCGATTTGTAAGTTAATGCTCCAGAGATTTGTCTCGGATTCAAAACTCGTCATCTGGTTCGTAGTCTTTTAATACTTGGACAAGATTATGAAGGATGAACTGGCTATTTGTATAGAATCATCTATGTTTTCCTCTTAAAAGGTAAAAGAAGGCACCGAAGCCCATAAACCAAATTCTTCATTAGTTTTATGGCATTTTAGGGTGAGCTTGAGATGAATTTGGAAAGAAATGTTTCAACTAAGATCACTTCTGTAACGGTCCAAGCCTACCGCCAGCGGATATTGTCTTCTTTAGACTTTCCCTTTCAAGTTTACCCTCAAGATTTTTAGATCGCGTCTGCTAGAGAGAGGTTTCCACTCTTATAAAGGGTGTTCCCTTCTCCTCCCCAACCGATGTGAGATCTCACAATCAACCCTCCTTCAGGGCCCAGCGTCCTCACTGACACTCGTTCCTTTCTCCAATCGATGTGGGACCCCACCAAATCCACCCCACTTCGAGGCCCAGGGTCCTTGCTAGCACACCGCCTCGTGTCTACCCCCTTTCGGGGAACAACCACCTCGTTGGCACATCATTTGGTGTCTGGCTCTGGTACCATTTGTAACAGCCCAAGCCCAACGCTAACAAATATTATCCTCTTTCGGCTTTCCCTCTCGGGCTTACCCTCAAGGTTTTTAAAACCTGTCTGCTAGGAAGAAGTTTCCACGCCCTTAAAAAGGGTGTTTCGATCTCCTCCCAACAATGCAGGATCTCACAACTTCTATAAGCATTTTTTTGGAAAAGGTACCAACTAAAGCAGTTCAAGTATTTTCTAGTGGTTTTAAGATTTTCAAAATCACTAAATGATTATCTAACAAGAATATCAAAAAGTGCTTTAAATGGAGAGTCGTACATAACAAATATAATGGGAAGGGAATAACAAACCTCATCAAAAGCAACTCCCATCATCACTTCATCATTACAGCATCTGTAACTGAGCTGCTTCAATAGATCGACGGTCGAACTACAAAAAAAGAAAAAAACAATGAGTTTCTTTCGTGGGAGATGAGAATAAATCTAACGCAAATCATCCAAGTATACAAAGAAATTCCATAGATGAACCTCAGATCATTGTGTTTTACAGAAAACAAGAGAATTCTGCGACAACAATCTATCCAGTGGTCGAGATCATGATGGAATTCACCAAGTAACTGAAATATTCTGTTCATCGGCCCATCGAATGGATAGTGCTCCTAGAGACAAAGGGGAAATACTCTTTAGTTGACAAAACGAGAAGAAGTAATAATCATTCATTGCAGACGTTTAACTTACAATAAGACTGATGACAGCCTTGGGCTCCAAATTACATCCAGCTTGTTTCATTTCATCATAAATTTTCAGAGCATCAGCTATTTGCGCATTTGAAGCAAGAGCAGAGACTAGCACACTTCTAATTTCATTCAAGTTCTTGACTGGTATTTCTTCATCTGATATAACCTACAAAAGATTAAATGATATCTAAATAATCTTACATTGTACACTTCAGCCAACTCTTATGAAAATATTTATAAGAATAAAAACATGAAGATCAAGATCACTTACCTGTTTTGCCTTCTCAAATTGTCCATGAGCAGCATATGCATTTATAAGGGCCATGAAAATATGCTTTGTCGCTTGAACTCCAGAACTCTTCAGCTCTTCATAATACTACAGGAAGATAAGCGGCTTCAAAACTTTATTCATATAATGCTTGGCCTTTATAGTTTAAAGAAGGTGAATAATAGTTGAATTTAAAAAACAACATCTTCAGTGATTAGGACAAAACATGGTTTGTTAGGCATTTAGGTTAGTTATATGGGATAGATGCTAGCAGTTTATCAGAGTCCTCTAACTGTGAAAAAGGAGTTTGCTAGGCGGGGTTGGAACTTGGAATACTATAGATAAAAGTAAGGAGTTTGAAAGGAAGAAGCAAGTAAATGAACAAAAAATGGTAAAGATATTGTAGGAGCAATAGTATAACCTCCACGTTACCCATGCTGAAATGTTTGAGAAACAAACTTCTCTTGCAATGCATAATTGTAAGTCAAATATAAATGAAAATAGTTGAATAAAATTTGATTTATTGAATAAATAATAAAACTGAAAATCATGATACTCAAAATTTTTCTTGTCAAACCAAACTTCCTATACAAAAATTCAAATATCTATAATGCAGAACTTCATAAGAACGCTAGTTAGCTGTGATTGTTTTTTGGGGCAAAGCCACTTATAAATGAAAATTGAAAGATATTAGGCATATGATATCAAAAGTGTTCTAGAATTCTTCTTACACGTAAAATTAGACAGAGTTCAAAAAATTCTGTGGTAATAGTTATTTTTTGGGGCAAAGCCTCTAGTAAATGAAATTAGCAAGAAATTAGGCATATTGTATCAAATGTGTATTTCTAATTCTTGAAACACGTAAAAATTAGACATAAAGTTTGAATAGTTCTGTGGTAACCTTGATAATATCCTCCTCACATTCACAATTGCTGATCAAATAGCTGAAAGTCTTGGAATCTGGTTTTACATCCGCAAGTTCCATTTGCTTGAGAACCATCAATCCATCAGAAGTGTTCTTCTGCTGAGTACTTGGAAGAGTTAACATCGTCCAATGTTTATATATTAAATAAGAGAATGAATGTGTGAAATGAAACTTTTATATTATGAGGACAGAAAATGCAC